AAAAAAATTAAATGTAAATTTTCCACCTAATCTAATTTCATTTTAATATGTGTATACCTGAAATAGATGTCGCGATACGATTTACATTCATAGCATAATCGTATGGCAGATTGCTTCGTGTATTCATCGTTCACTATGTTTCTTTTTCTATCTGTTAACAATTACATGGACGAGGTCATATGATAATTGCTGATGTTAAATGGATACTTTTTTCCGATTTCAAGCGACTAAATAGCACTTGAATTCATTTAAAACACAAACAGAACTATCTGTAGAGAAATGTAAAACATTACGATGGATAAGAATTACACTAATCATTTCACGTCAATCAAATCACTACGCGAAATAAATGGTATGATTTGATGTTTCTAGAGAGATAACAAGGATTGGAAAAGTTAATGATAGAAAATATGATAAGGAAGAATGAGAGGAGAGGGAGAGAGAAAGAGAGAGAGGAAGGGAAAAGTGAAATTCGATAAAAATACTCAAATTCTGTGCCTGAGGAAATATGAAATGTACAATGTCAAAAGCAATTCAAAACATTCTTGTTGGCAAAATGCCCAACAGAAATTCTGTTTTGAATTGGCATTGATCAATGAGAAGTGTTGGGATGGAGGGTTGGGGTGACACTTCTTTCGATGTCATGATAATTTCCGATGCCGTCTGTGTATCGATGATGTCACCAAAGTAAGGCCAACCTTCATGGGAGTTAAGTGGAACTTATGATCAGGTCATGAGAGTGACTGGGTTGATAATTGGGAAGATGTATTATGGACTATATTTTAATTACAATTCATTTTTATTGCAGGCATAGGAAGAATGTCTTTCATGTGAATAAAAATGTGATAAAATGGGCAAATTGACGAAACTATCATCGGATCTAACGAAAGTAATATTGGTTGGAGATGTGAACGACAATTTACTCAATTCATTATTGGGTAGGTTTTTTTTTTCTATAAGTTCGAATAGGTATGGGGATCCATCAACGTTTGATGAAAGGAAGGAAACTATTGAGTAAATTGCATTTCTTTTCATATTTATTTCTTTATTTAAATGCATTATTTGCGCTTTCTTTTACTTGCTAATGGAGTTGATCAATCAAATATTTATTTTATCTCCACGATAGCAACCTTCTCTCGTTACGCTGATAAAGCAAGTTGAATTTATGCTTCAGAATAAAGTAATACATTATAGATGCGAAGTTGTGCTCCTATTATATTATAGGGAACGAAAATTCCATATTGCAACAGAAGAATGAATTGTTGGTGGATACAAAATACTACGTCGCTTGCTTGAAGTTAGAATCGTTGAAAACAATTGAAATGATTAATGAATGGAAACTTTCGACACCGAACGTAAACGTTGGTGCTGTTATATACAACTATGATGGGGAATTCCGTTCCATTGAGCGGTTGAAACAACACATGTCCATATGGCAGGCGGAAATTCAAGTATAATGTTAATAATTCTTTAGAGATTAGTAGTTTTTGAATTTTCCTAGGTCACTGAATTACTGTTGAATTTTGAACTGAATTACACATGAAATGAACTTTTATATTAGAAGCGTAGACTAAAATATTGTTTCGAAATAGTTTTGCAATTTTTTGTAATCTGAGACTGTTAGAACTGCTTTTTGTCTGCATCCACATCTTTAAGTTATTTGTTTTTTGCAGGTTACTGTTTGTAAGCGTTTGGAACGTTCAGCGGATTGGTCGGAAAATTTGTATCGTTTCTGTGCCGGTGAACAGATTGAGTTAGTGGAACTTGACCCAGATGCTGTGAGTCAAGCTAAATTATTAATTGAAATAAGCTTGAAAATTTTCGAAAGTTTCATGACAGTAATTCTTGGCACTTCGAAGGCTTATCACATAAGATTGGTGAAGATGGATGAGAATTTTCTCTGGTTATATTGGAAAATATTTGCTCTTTTCAGAATGTTAATTTGAAATAATATTAATGTTAAGATAGTTCAAGCTGGAATTACTTCACTGAAGGTGTGATGTTGCGTTTATTCATTATGAAATAGCAAGAAGGGGAAAAAAGTCTTTCTGTTTTTATATACATACATTTTCAGGAAACAATAGAAGAGCTAAATGAATGCCGCGAACTTTATGGAGTACCTCGTATATGGCAGGTTGACTTTTGACTTTTTATGGTGACACAATATTGGCATACAGCTTGTGGAATGGCATTCATGATGAAATGGGAATTACATCGACAATTTTGACTGATATATTCCAGACTTCCGCTGCATGCCAAACATCATAATTTTATTTATATCTTTATTATGACATCATTAACTTAACCTTTAAGTATTTTGGCAATTTTGAAAATACCGTCACGCGTACTTTTCTGTTGATGTTTTAGATCTTAGAAGCTGGAAATTGGAGTAATAAGATAATGAAGAAGAATCCACTGGAATCGAATAAACAACGAGATTTTAAGAAAATTGGTCTCATTAGTAATCCTGCTAAAAAGTCTTCTGAAGATTCTTTTGATGATGAGGAATTTGGATCAAGGATTCACGACATGACGGATGAAGACAAAGGTAATTATAATGAGTAAGAATGAATTTAATGGTAATTTTAAAAAGATATTGAAAACATTAACAAGACGTTACTAATCTTTATCTTTCATTATGTAAATTATGTAACTCAATATTTTTTTTTAGTGCTAGTTGTGCAAGAATTCTTGAGGAATCATTTTGCAGACATGATAGTAAAGCTATTTGGAGGGCCAAAATTATCATTCGATAATTTGATGAAAGATGTAGATGTTCCGGATCCTACAGTTACTGAATACTTCAGGCAGGAAACGGAAAAACTAAAGCGACAAAACAAATTAGTTGCTAGTGTAATTTTTTCGAAATGCACTTTTCAAAATAGTTCTATTACTTCTTTTTCGTCATACATTCGGAAATTCCTTATGATATGTTCGGGCTTTTCCTGAAAAAATAGAATAAATTGATGAATATAATAAACATAAATTTTATTTTCAGAATTCGAACTTAGGCTTGTTTTAAAGTAATGAATCTTTTTGTTTAAAACAAAGTGAAGTCACTTAAATAAGTATTTAAAGAAGAGGAAAAAGAAGAAGAAGTCAAAAGTTACGACAACTAATGAATTTGGTGAATTTGTTGATGCGATCAGTTCGACACAAATGCCAAATGATGGAGCGACGCAAAACTCGTCGGATGTGATGGGTTTAACGAAGGACAAGCACACAGATGTTGATGTAAATGTGCAGGAAGGACAGGAATCAAGTGGTGATAATTGCAAAGATTATCAAGGAAATTCCAAAAAAAACTCACATGAATCAAATAGTGTTTCGCCTTCAATAATCGATGGATTATTTGACAGAAATATCGACAAACAGGGCACAAGTTTGGTCAATAAAATTCATACAGTGATTTTTCATTTTTTAATAGAAATTTAGAAATATTTGTGACATAAGTTCTGTCTCCAATACTTTTTTCATTTTCTACAGGAGCACATAAAAGCAGATGAATGAGCGGTGCTGGCAAATTTTTGAAAATTTTTTGTAAATCAAGTGTAAGAGAAAGAAATCTCTGCAAAGAAATAGAAAAAAAATTTTTTGCATATCTATCCAGGTTGTTTCAAAATCTCTTTGCATTCTAAAAATTTAGGCACGATTAGCGTTACTCAAAATGCCCTTTGGTCCAGAACGACAGAATTTGGCAGCTGATACGATGTTTGCTATGATGAAATCAATTGGAGATAGTGATCTTTTCAATAGTTCTTCAGATGATGAACTTCACACCTAAATTTTAGGCCTCTACATAACTGTTTCAATAATTTCACTTTTTTTACATTTTTTGCATCGGCTATATATATATTTTTTATAACTATAATTAATTGTTAAATATCAATAAACCAAAAACTAAACGAACATGCTAAATGGAGTAGTTTATAACTGTCTCTTAAATGCCTATAGAATCAGCATTCTTTTGGATAATACTGATTTTATAAGCATTTGAATTGAAGCCATGACAGAAGATATGCTTTAAAAAACAGTGCTGGAACCTGTTTCTGTAATATATTATACAAGTAATAAATTTCAACGAAATATTTCTCGGTTGAACAGTAATTCTTGTTTTGATGCCTTACAAACCTAAACTCAGCCAACTTAAATTTCCAATAAATATATCTTATTTTCAAGTTAAGAATTTTTGTTCTTTTGTGCCGCGATAAGGACCAAAGGTCGTTAAAAATTAATTCTACCCTACAAAGATGCTGATAAAATTAATTCCACAAAGATACTTGAAATATGAATATTTTTTTACTCGCATAAATCTTACGTTAAATTGCAAACTGTGGATTATATTAGTGTCTCTCATTCGTCAAGGCTTCATTGTGATCATTGTGATCATTCTTGTGCAGTTTATAAACGTGGCCTCAAAACACACACACACACACACACACTAAAAAGCTCAAACCAACTTATGGCGGCGCCATTTTGGGAATTTCTTCTAAACCATAAATAACTGTTTCCATCCAAATTTTGTAACTTTAATGTTAATAAATTAAGCAATAGAAATTTAATATTTAAAACGTTTATTAAACTAATTTTATGGGATGATATTCTGAATATCTCTTTACGTTTGAAATCGTGGTAGTTACAACCGCACTTTTAATGACACATTTGTATTCAGGACATTTCGATATTGATTGTATGGAGATGAAGAAGAGTTGGAAAGTTAAGTAATTTCGAAATAGTAATAGCGATGTAAATCTAATCGAGAATGGATCGTTGACGAACCATTACGGTGTGATCCAAAAGTTAAGTCTTTGCTGATTTTTTTTCTGCATGAAAGAGCGATAATGTTGCAAAGTTTAGATTCCATGTGGAAGGAAGCTTTCTCTGCACTGATTTATATCATGCTATCAAATTTTTATTTTACATTTAGGAAATTATTGTCGATAAGAGAAAAAATGGCCCGAATGAAATGAATTAAAGAGAGAATTTTTTCGACATTTCAAAATAATGCATAAGTGAAGCATATTTTGCATTTTATAATTCAGTAACAGAAAAAATCCGAGTAAAAAATTGCGAAAAATACTCAAATATACAACAAATATTGCCAATGTAAAAGTAAAATTCCATTATAATAAATGAATAAATAATTTCGTTAAAGAAAATAAGTATTACAATGTGAACAACTATTGCCATAGTAATATTATATGGATGGAAATTTGAAATTATTAAATAACAATGATTTTGTGTTATTTAGCTAGAAATCATTCAATTAATTTCAAGTTTTGAAACACTATCTAAAAAAATACTAAGCAAGTTTAACTAAACTAATTGTCAAATAAAATTGTCTTTAATTAAATAAAATCGCTTTAAATAAATGTAAGCTTATGAATTTAAAGATGCTTCAAAATAAATGTAAGCTTAAGAATTTAAACAATTATGCAAGTTACGTATTTTTCATAAAATCACTTTATATCTTATATTTTATATTTTCATTAATTAATATATCCTGTTACCAGTGAACTTTTCTTCAATAATTCTTAAGCTTCGTTTAGATGTTTGAACAAACTTGACTAATATTTTTCAATTACAAAGAGAAATCAAAATAGATAAGTTAAGTATTAATGAATATTCGAGTCGTAATAAATAGAAAAAAGTTGAAATGGTCAAATTTGAAGATATATTACGTTACTGTTCTTAAGAAGGAAAAAAAAGATTGTGAACAGTAATTTTTATCATTAAACTAAACATTACTACAACATTGCTTCACAAGTAATTTCAAATCATATGCAGCACGTGATACTGTCACAATACAATTAGCCATTGATTGTACAGCTGATACTGATAGATACTGAAATAGGATCATTGAAGTTTTGATAGTACGAAATTCACTTACTTATTAATCAATATTCTGAATTTATGACCAAAACAACCTTTTTCATTTGTTTAAATGATAAAGAAAATATATTTAGAAAAAAAAAAATTTAAAATGATTTAAATTTCCAAACCTCATCGGCAGCATGTTTGGTAGCTTGAACACATGTTTTCAAAACATCAAGTAATCGATCAGCCGCAAGTTTCACTTCTTTGCTAACATCACCGGACGAAATACATTCTGCGATTGTATCAGCCATATAAATTAATTTATGTGCAGTAAGTATTATCTGTAAGTATTACTGTTAACTGTCAATGAAATAAGAGCGTAGTGATTATTTAAGATTTTCATTCAAAAATACAATAATTATTTAAGTGCAAAAATGATAATTTAAATATAAAACTGTATGTCATTGCCTAATTTAAAAAGCTTAAATAGTTTTTTCTCTTTTTTTATATCTGTATCATTTATTCTCTAAATCTTTTTCCACATATTACTCAGGTCTAGAATTCAAAGATAAAATTTAAAAATTCGTTAATTTCATTTATTCACTTCTTTATCAAACAATCATACAGTAAGTATTGAATAAATAGTATTTATTTGATCTCTATTAAATCATCGTTAATGATAACGACTTTGATGAAGAAGCATTATTTTATATATATCAAACAAAATATTTGCATTAAACGTTTCATTTTTTTTGATAAAAAATTTGAACTAGTGAAAGAATCAAGAGTAAATTATACAAAAACCTGTATAATCATCACTATTGATAAGAAATAAAATGATATGAAATAATACCAATTTCCCTTTCTGAACAAATTCATGTGGTGGCATTTGTTCTTCAATTACAGTCAAGAACTCTTCAATTGCCTTCGAAAGGAATTCAGTGTGTGCATCCAACTGTGGCGAATAAAATTCAATCAATTGTCTGTCATCAACGGACAACGATTTTATCACCTAATTGTTGATGAAAATGAGTTTAATTAATATATCATGAATATTATTATTATAAGTAAATTGAAATTTCATTCATATTTTTAATAAAATTAATTCAAGCAACTATGTTTAGGAAATTTTCATTTCTGAAATTAAAACAATAACTTGGAAGTTGTTGTATCATCAATGGGGAAAAATTTTAACTTGAAAATTTTCGAAAAAAAACAGCAGTTGAAAGTGCACCTCAGCATTCAATTGTGATAATGGTGGTAAATTCGTTATCGGTCTCATTCTACGACTTACGACAATATCATCACCTTCAACTGTTGAATCCTAAAATTTGAAAATCAAATAATAAATGTGATAATTTAAAAATTAATTCAAACTTAAAAAATTTTCTAATTTATAAATGAATTTTAGTAATAGAACTAAATGACTGATGCTAAATATTTTTTAGTATCATTTCTTTTTCTTTTTTTAAAAGATAATTCATACTTTTGTAATGATATTTATACCTTTAGGGTAATGATCAGAAAAAATAAAAAGTGGGCAAAATTATGAATAAAAAAAATTAAAAATTAAATTATTCAAGAAAAAACTTAAATACGAGGTTGAATGATCGCAGAAGGTATTAACTAACATATAGTAATGATAGCAATGAATGAAATGAAATGAAATTTAAAATTACAACATATCGGGGAACGGGGGGACTTATTTTTAAGTATTGAATTATTAGAAATACCATTCAATTTATATATAATTTCTAATCAATTAGTAAAAATGAAAGAGAATTGAAGATAACCTGATAGAAACTATCACGATCACTGATCACTGATTCTAAATCATCTTCTTCTAGAATGTGTGCTTCCAGAATGGAATCCGATAATTGATGTGAAGTAATCAGATCATCAGCAAACGTTACACGATTTTGTTTTCCAGCTGTTTGATTGGTTGATGAACCAAAAGCTGTACGAGAAGCTAAAATTGATTGCGGTATTTGTGTATCATTCAAACTTGAAACGGTCATTGTTGAAGTGGTTGATGTTGCCGACTGCCTTTTTAAATCCGTTCCGAATGATGTTCCACCATTTGTTTCACATATTCTGCAGAATTTCTATTTTACAATTTCCCCATTTTGAAAAAAAAAAGCACAGCCAAATTTTTGCAAAACAACAAAAAAAATTTTGAAATATTTATTGTTTATTATTTAACAAATTTATATTTGACCAATTGAATATGTTGAAAAATGCAACCGAAAAAGGTATGAAAAGAGAAGCAATGAGAAAAATAACATAGCAATTTAAAAAAATAATAATAATTAAAAAGAAGATTAATTAGTAATAAGTAAAAGAATAGAAGCTAAAAGAGTGGAATGAATAGAGGTCATCTTTTTCAATGATTTAGAAAAATGCAAAATTTATCATTCTTACCTCGATAAGGGATCATCATATGACTGATAGAAGCCTGAGATGATATTATCAGAGCTTAATGAATCCTTCAAACCATTGGTTAGGAAACGAACACCTGATGATGGTACCACCAGCAATGCCCATTGTATCAGTTTGCAACAATCGATTGGCAGCTCAAATTTTCAATAAATGAAATAAAAGTTATAAATTTTAAAATGCAATTTTAAGACATTCAACGAAAAAGAAAATTCAAAAAAATTTTCAAAATTGTTCTCAAGTTTAACTAGATTAAATAAATTAAATTTATTTATTGAAAATTGTAAACAAATAATTTGCTTGTCCCAAAATATATACAATATACCTGCTTAATAACAGCAAGGAATTGATCTAAAGCGTCACTTCCCGATACTGTCCCGTAAATATTACGTGGTCGCGATAGTGCGCTAAGTGTCCAACCAATATTGTCCAAATTTTGTTTCAATTGGGTGATGATAGTAGCTGAGCTTTTCAGTGGTAGAAGTAATTGTTTCAGTTCTAAAAATCAAACGTTTCGAAATTTGTTTTATTTCAAATTCTCGGTAGAAAAAAAACCTGAAATATTCGATAATTTACGGTAAATGGATCCTATTTCAATTTCTTATGAGTTTTATAATATTTAATTTTGAGCATTTCTTTTCTTTACAGAAATATTCCATTTGTTATAATAAAAAGTTTAAAGAAATCCACTATTTTAACTGATAATTGTACACGAGAATTAAATAAAATACCAGAAAGTAAAACAGTGAAATAAAATGGAGATAAAACAAATTGCTAAAATGTGAAGTGTAACCTTGTAGCCTCTAACCTTACAGACATCAATAGCTATCGCATTTATTTATCGAAATAACCGCATTTAATATTTTAACAATTAACAATTTCAGACAGAAAATGCATTAAATCTGACTATTGAATATAGAAAATGAAATTTTCAACTTCTCAAATGAAATAATATAAAATTTAAGATATTTAAAGTAGGAAAAATATTTTTTAACCTGTACAATGGTAATGATTGATACGTTAATTATTTTAAGCATCATTAAATTAAACATTTCGAAATGAGTTTTACAAATATTTTAGAGAAGTTTTATCAACACATTTAAGCTAACTGGTACTTAGCAAATACAGAAAATAAACAATCATAAACTTCCTTTAATGATTCAATTTCAGCTTGCAAAAAAATTGAAAATTTTCAAAAATATACCTTCATTTTTTGGATTAATAATATCGATAGCAATACGACATGCGGCATCCAAAAAACCATTCACTGAAGTTGCTATCGTTTCTACGTGTTCCTTGATATCAAAAATATGTTGTTGTAGAATATGTGGCTGTCGCCAAGCACGTGCTGCTGTACACTGGAAATTAAGCATTCCCGAATTACTTTTGTAAATATTTCAGAAATACTGAATTATAAAATTTAGGCCAACTGTTATTTAGCAAACAAATTAAAAAAAATAATTGTAAAATTTTTTTAAGAATTAAATTCCGACCTGATAATAATAGTTTTTAAATTGTTTTTAAATTAGATAAACAATTATTAAATTGAATTCCAACAATAATTTTTAAGCTAAATTTCAACTTAACAATAATAGCAAAAACAGTAGTAAATTCCAATATTAGCAAATTCGTTTCAGTTCTTTTCCTATATTTTTATTCACTCTCATATTGAAATATTTCGGCATAAATTTTATAAATATTTAAAAGAAAGTTTTAGTGAATTTTAATTTTTCCAGAAATGATCATCTGTCATTTTCAAATTTTTTTTTGAAATTTTCAAGAGTTTATAAAAAAATGAAAAGAAAAAAAAGAAAAAACAACCTTATCTAATTTTTCGACACTATTCTCGATATTTCGATAATGTTCAACGAGTTTCGAGCAAATCACTTGCTTCTTAATATTTTCATTATTTATTGAATTGTTTCCATCACTAAAAATATTTCCATCATTAAATAGAACTATAAAATTTCCAATAATCCAGCAATTAATTTTTGTTTAAATTTTCTTTAAATTATAAAATTACAGAACAATAATGATTCGTTCCATTTTAAAAGAATTCTTTCACCTAAATATATTCTAGAATCTTTCATTTTTAATTGAAAATTTAAAATTTTTTTGCTGTTATTTGAAAACAAGAATTCGTAAATTCTGATGTGATTATTTTAAAGGAAAACTTGTTCAATAAAGATGAGAAATTGGTCTTCACCAACTTATTAATTGTTATTTTATTTTTATTTTTTGTTAAAATTTGCATTATTCTAGTTTTTATGTGTTTGTTCAAATGCTTAATTTAACATGAAACAATCTTCAGCTAAAAATAAAAATTTCATTAAACTTAATCTTTTTTTCTTTTTATATAAGTGGATTTAACAATATATTTAAATTAAAATATTTAAATTAAGCTGTCAGATTAATCTTATTAATCATATTCAAATTAATTTTTTCAGTCCAAATATGCAAACTTCGATCATTTCACAACAAAATTCGCATTTCCATAAAACATAAAACTTTTTTTTAAAATCTTCTACACTTCAGATATTAACAAAAGGACACAGAATTACCCGTTTAGTGAACGACGCTGATTTACCGGTTCAGGTGCGGTACTTTCGCTACGCCTGAAACGATTTTCCGGAGTGTACCTGTTTCCAGACATACCTTCAGGTGGTATTGATGAGCTCCTGAAATAGCACCCCTTGTCATCCTGGAAATTCAAGCATTTTTGCTATATTTTTTAATTTTTAAAACTTTTCCATTACAAATTAACTTTCTTCCTTATTGTTATTGTGTTCAGTTCAAATATTCAAATAAGCAACTTGTTTGTCTTCTATATTATGGCTAAGTAATGTTTTCTTCTTGAAAATGAAATAGTAATTCATGGGTAAATGTAATATTTTATAAATTATAAAAATTTCAGATTTAAATTTTAAAATTGTAATTTTAGATTTAAAATAAACGAAAAAAATATCAGGAGAAAATAAAGGATTAAATTAATTAAAATGATGAGTTACCTATTAGACCGCTGTATAAAATCTCGTTGATTATTCAAATTGAGAGAAAGATTAAATCGTGGTTCTGTCCCACCGGTAGCTTCCAAATCAGTAGGAGAGGTGGGACTGTTAAGGACATCTTGTGAAACGTTTCTGTTGTTTGGCTCATTTTTCTCTTCCAATGTTGTCATCATTAGGCCACAGGGTTCGCAAACTCGCTCAAATTGGGAACGCTGAACTGTACCGATTGCTCCTTCGATACCATTAAAATGACCTGCCGACTGTTGCTGTCCATGATGATCTTGCGCTAATGGTAATGGATCATACATCCGTACTCGACACGTTTTTCCCATACGTGAAGCATCAAAATTTGATTCAGTTAGATCGGTTGATTGTTCACATGATGATAAGGATGATGTTGCTGATGTTCTCTGGAAAGATCAATTCAAAAGTAGTATATATGTGAGTAAATCTTTGATATTAATCCGCTTCTCTAAATGATATCAATTATCGGCCAATCAAATAATTTCATAGAAATCAAAGACAAACTGCAACATAACATGAAATTTAGCACTGAATTACGTGCGTCATTATCAATTAGCTACGTGATCAGAGTTTTTATAAAGAAAAAATGAAGGGAAATTGAATAACCTGATTACTTTCACCATTAGAATCATTCATATCAGCAACAATTCCGGAAGAGGAAGGTGACGATGAGCTGATTTCATCGTGCTGAATGGCGGTTATATTAACAACAACACTACCCGATTCAGATTCATTAGATGAGCTATTATTCTGCATTCCGGCAGTATTGGTTGTACCTGAATCTAAATATACTGATCAGTGAAGTCCATGTCCTTTTGAGGCAAAATTTTTGCCTAAGGCTAGTTTTGGTGACAAATTATCCATTGAGGTTTTTCCTGAGAAATCAATAATCAAAGTTTGAAATAAATGAGAGATAGCTAAATATAATCCATATTTTATTGTTTTTTTTTTTTAAATCTGGAAAATACTCAGTTTTTCGAGATCTTTCATCATGCTCTTCTATCATTATTAATCCATAAATGTAGATTCAATTCAATTTCATAGCTTAAAATTTGAAGTTTAATGGTTAGTTCTTAAATTTCATTTTTCAGAATGGAATTTTTATGTTCAATGAGTTACTAAAAAGAAATTAGGAGCAATGAATTATTAATTAAATCTTTCATTATCAATGCTTGAACTTGGGCGAAACTTTTTACTACTGAAATAATAAATCTGTGTAAAAAGAAATGAGGTGAAGTGAAATGATTTCTTTATGCATTTTTTTTCTTCTGGATTAGAGCAAAGTGACATTTTTTTCGTTTGCTTTATATTTTGTAATTCATGAATAAATTCCAATTATTTGATTAACGAATTAAATTTACGGAACATTGAATATATCATTAACCTTGTAATATTTTATTTTTTGTTATCTCGCAATCGCTCAAGAAATAATCCAAATAATGATGAAGCATTTGAAAATGTGAGGAAAAAAAGTTAAAGTGTTTAGATTCTTACGCTTATAACGCAGTAATGAGATCAAATAAAAAAAATTTCGCTTCATTCCGGTAATTTAGCTCAAACCGAGGTCATTTATAATATTTTTAAATAGTTCGGCGATTTTATTTTGGAAAATTCAACAGCAAGAAATTCATCATTCCGATTAATTATTTCAAAAGTTGAAATTTCGTGGATTAGTTTAACGAGAAAAGTATTGAAAAAAAAAACAATGTCGCATGAAGGCTACAAAAAATAGGTTAACAAACCTATTTTTTGTAGCCTTCGTGCGACATTGTCCATAACGCAATCACCTCCGTCATCTATTCTATTTGATTTTTGCAATCTTTGAACACCATCGTTCATTGAAATTGAAATATTTCGATCATCGAATTTTGGTTTTGGTGTAAGTAACGATCGATTTGATGTTCTCGAAGTGTATGAATCCGATTTGTCCGCTCTTCTGTAAAATATAGTTTTCATTCATAAAACATGTTATTATCTCAGTTAAAAATAATTTATGCAAATTATTTCAAGATTTGACAAAAAAAAAATCAATTTGGCATGAATTCTTCAGATAAGCTTTACTATTTGAAAATAATAAAAAGTAAACTTACCGCCGTCTATGATCCTCATCACTTGATGTAATTTCATTGGAACTTGATGATGATCCAGCTGTCGTGTTCAACGATGAAGTTGAGGGATTAAAAAATTTCCGTTGTGGTGGCGGAGGTGGTGAAACATGACCTCCACTGAAACACCAACGCATTTTGATGGCAGTATCAGTTGATGAAAATACTATTTTGTCCTCTTTCCTATAACCGGTCCTGATAGCACAGGAATGGTATACCGAGAAAAAGCGGTGGCATTCAACGAGGTAACGACGGTGGCGGTGATATCCGCCGATAGCGGTAATGTATGTTCTCAATTAGGTGATAGTGCTACCAAAGATGGTAGTTGTTAGAATTAGTAATAGTAATAGGTAGTAATAATTGTAAGATTAGTATTGATTAAAGTATCAACATAAACTGAATTAATTTAATTTAATTTAATACAAAAATTTCGACACTTGCCACTTCAGTTACATTTATATTTGATAAATTCGATCCTAATTTCCAAAAAATTCATAATTGAAAAAGAATGAAAAAGTTGATGAAATAATTCGATACGACACAAGTAACATTTATGATTGTACATAAAATTTTTAGTAAGAAATGAATTTAAACGATTAATGGTGAAATTTGAATCAAAATTGAATGGTAATTATTTAAATTATGGTAGAGAAGAGAAGCAAAAAAAAAAAGCTAATGAATCAATAAAATTAAATAGCATAACAAGTGGGAAAAAATATGGATGAATGAATAATTGGTTCATAAATTAATACGGAAATGTGTCATAATGATTATGTTTGATAGGAATGTTAAAAGTTTACTCGAACATACACGAATGCATTCACTGTTTGATAGAAAGAAAATCTTTCTCGATGTTCGTCATATCAGTCGGTATAAAAACGTTATAAATGGTGATGGTGGTGGTGGTGGCGGTGGAATTAGGAGAAGAACCGGATGATACCACTAACACCAAAACTACTTTTAGTGCTACCATTAATTAAATCAAATTTTTTTAATTTTTTATTTATTTAATTTACTCTATCAGCAGTAGTGGCAAAGAAATTAGGATGATTCGAGAATGAAAATAAGATAAAATAAATGAAAATGGGAAGATATTAACAACAAATGGCAATAATAACGATACAACAATTATAAACAGTAACAATAATAGTGAATAATAA